TGTTGGAGCATTAGAAGCTTTTTTGTAACACTGCTCTGACATCTTCAGCAATAAGTTATGATTTGAAATTTTGCTTTAACTACTTTAACAGAAATTGCTTAAAACAACGGTGTAATCAACTTTAATAATGCTTAATATTTGAATTTTCATAGCTGCCTGTGGTTAGGTTTTCAGCAGACTGGTTGGGCACTGTTTCTAAAAGAGTGTTTTGAGTACTTGAAGCGTGGAAACTGTGATGGTAGCAGGAAGATTTGAGACAAAAGACTGTAGCTGAAAAGTGACTTTTTGACCTAATAGCTATTCTTCCTGATACTGATTGTTGTTCTTGTCATTGTGTCCATACAACCAATTTATTTTATAGCGTAAGTTCTCTAGTAATGTGTTTATTAAAAGCGATGTCTGTACACAGAGTTCTGTGAACTTAGCAAAATCTGAATTGCTCCTCCTAAAACATTCACTTAGTTCAGGGTGGCTGATTTTTTTTTTTCCTGCAAATACTGAAGAATTTTTCCTGATAAGCCTTGGATCGAGTGTTTTATTAGTGAGACATCAAAGTTTGTCTAACCCACATCCAGCCTTGCTGCAGGAAGTTTTGTCTGTGTTTGTTGCACGGGTGTGAGTTTCTGTGGTAATTCAGCTGCTCTCAACTTGTCCAGAATTCCCTGGCCCTGCTCTTCCATCCGGCTACAATCAAGACAGTGTCATGGCAACACATGAGGATAATTCAGTCCCTCATGTGCCAGGGAGAGCACAGGCGAGCCCTCAGGTACATCCAGATGATGAAGCCGTCGATGTCCAGCAGCAGTGAAGTGCGGCTGTTCCTCACCGTGTTGTTGTCCAACAGGTAAGGGAGTCTCCCATTGTTTTGGCACTCAGATATTGGGAAATGTGGAGGAGTGATGATCCAAATGGGGCTCCCGTCCATTTCCTTTGATCTTTGAATGAATAGCATCACTGTGGGGCATCTCTCTGGCTCCAGTGTTCCCATTCCTTTCCATGTCCAAAACCTGAACTGCAGGTGCATGGTGGAGGCTTGGAGTCTGCTGCAGCAGCACACCACGAAGTTAAACATAGAAGAGCTGCTAAAGCACATGTATGAAATCTGTCAGGAGATGGGGCTCATGGAGGATTTGCTGAAGCTGCCCTTCACAGACACAGAAAAAGTGAGTTTGGAGAAGAAACAAAAAAGTCTTAATTTTCTCTTTGGCAAGAGAAGAGGCAGAATCGTAATAGATGCATGAAATGTGTTATTTCTCACAGGAGTGTTTGGAGAAGTTTTTACAGGCCAAATCTGGTGTCCAGAACCGTGAATTCCTCTTAGTCCACCATCTGCAGCGTGCCAACTACATCCCAGCACTCCAGCTGAATCAGTCCATGAAGGCCAGTCTGACGGTAAGGGTAGACATCCTGCTTTGTGTGTCGGTGCGACTGATCACTTTTGATAGCCCTCAAGAAAAATCCTGCTTGGTCTTTTACACCATTCTTTGAAAGACTAGGAATAAGATCCTACATGTCAAGTTACAGCTGAACCTAAAAGCTGGCTGAAGTAATTTTACTACTGCAAACTGCTGCATGAAGTTATAAATTAAATGTTACTCCTGTGAAAGTTTGTTTCTGAGGAAAAAATAGGTATTTTTTCGACCATCCCACCTTTTCCTCCTCAGATCTGTTATATATGGTTTAGACTACAGAAATTATCCACGTCACTTTTTCTGTGGAGTAGAGTATGTTGTATGTCATGTCTTGTATTTTGCTTTTACCTGAGAGCAGCCTGGATGCTCGACAGGTAAAATACATGTAGTGGGGTTTTGTTGTGGTTTTGGGTTTTTTATTTTCTCAAATTATAGTGCAAGCTCTCTGATTCCAGTAGTTTCATGCTACCAATTTTATGGCATAAATTCTAAGCTATGTTTCTCAGAATACCCAGGTTAAATTTTGTGTTATATGAACTTCTCTTAGGGATCTGATTGTGTTGGTTTTGAAAGTATGTAAGAATAAGGCTCTGAAAAGTGCTGGAGTCCTTTTATATAGGAGTTTTATGTTCTACTTTTATTCCAGTCTTCCTTGCACTTATGCAAAACTACCAGGTGAAACTGGTGTGTGCTCCTGGGTGGAGCTTGCTGTGGCTCTATGCAGTGCATTTGTTCTCCTTTGTCTATAGAGCAAATTTAGTCCCTAGTTAGAAAGAGCAGATAGTTGTGTGCAATGAACTTCTGGTAAATTGTGAACTTCTTGCTTTACACGTTTCCTTTGTCAGAATGATCGTGATCCTCGCTTGAGAGAGAGAGCAGTTGCCAGAAATTCTCTGTTAGACCAATATGGCAAGATCCTTCCCACAGTTCAAAGGAAGCTGGCAGTAGAGCGAGCCAAGCCGTACCGTTTGCCTTCGTCGGTCTTAAGAGAAGGTAATTTTAGAGAAGGGAAACACGATGTGCAGCTGGCCATCACTTGGATTACACAAGGCTGATACTCTTCTCTCTTGCTTTACAGTCCCAAGGCCAAAGCCTTTATCCACAGCAACAAGGCAAGCTAATGCAGGAAATGTACATACAAGAACAAGTTTCATTGCTAAAGTACTGTCCAGACTTAAAGAAGCATGGCTAGGAAACAAGAAAAGCAGTTTCTCAGAATATTATAAGTAAGCAGCTTTTTCACAAAGTTTAGCCTTGTTCTGTGTTTTTGAGGGGAGAGAAAAAGGACGAGAGAAATTTGTTTGAATTATGTTAGTGTCTTGGTGGGAAGGTACATATGAATACAGCTTTGCTTTGCTTTTTTGCACATAAAACATGTAACATTTGAGACACAATTCATCCTAAGTAATACTTGGAGAAACATATTTTTCTGCTATGATAATCTTAGTTATGCAAATACATGTATTTACATTATGGGACATGTGCTTACAGAGTTTAAGACAGCTGAACCTAAAGCTTTGACTGCCACCAAGCTGTTGAGGTACAGACTTCAATAGACAAAAAGTGCCTGCTACTTTCATGTGGGCCTAGTATGTCATCCCAGCAGTGAGGGTTCATCTGTATTTCTTGTTCACTGAATGTTTTTGTTCTGCAGTATCTGAGATGATCACGGCATGCTTTGTTTCATTTATTTATTGGCGTTCCTAGTTTAAAATGTGTATTTTAACAGGTTGCTGGATTTGGTGGTTCATCCTGTTTCTTCCTGCACTGTGGCACAAGAGGAGAGCCGGCAGTCCCCATGCAGGGCTTCTACTTCTTCTGTGACATCCAGCCCCCTGAGATCAAATACACATCGCTCCAGCTCCCAAAAGAATCTGCGAAGGGCATCAGAGTTGAATTTACTGGAAACTCCTCTTGTGGTCAAGGTTTGTATTTTAAAAAGTCAGTAGCAGCCAACCAAACCAAAAGCTTGTGAGCTTTGTTTAAGATTAAATCCCTGGATTCAAATTGTGAGATACTTTTAGCATGCACATAGTTATGCTATGCTCAGTCCTTTTCAAAGCAGTGAAATGGGAACAGAAGGAACATTTAGTTTTCAATTAATTGCAGTGGTCACCTTGTCCCACAGCTTTGAGAAATACACTTGTTTTTATTACATGGAACAAAGCAAGTTGAACCTGAACTTTTCAATCTATACTTAGCAGCTTAAAGATGCAATTTGTGGCTTAACCATGACAGTATTTAAGTGCTGAGTAGCTTTGTGTAGTTTGACTTCCACTTCTACAACCAAGAACAGCATGCTTCAGACTCTTAATCCAGTCACATGAATGACAACTAAGCAATGTCAGTGATGTCAGTCTCTGTCATATTCAGTGATGACTCTCAGCAGTAGTTTTGCTTATCAGTTGTTTGTGGTCAACTGTATTTCCAGTCACTGGCATCAAACTGTTACCATGCAAGGCAGTAACACCTGACATGGGCCCTTGGTTCTGCTTTTTTTGCTTTTGCCTACCTGAATGAAATCATTGCCATCTCACTCAGTTATAACCTTTTTCTTGTTATGAAATATCATCTATACTATTGAACTAGCTTCATCCCTCTAACTCTTTCAATATTGTAAAACATTTCTGACCCAGGAAGACCTGAACAGTGCTACATGAAGAGATGTATTTTTACAGCACTTTACAGTCCTTCTATCTTGTGTGCAGATTGATTAATTAGTGCAGAAATAAGCTGTGGCTGTTGCTCTGTTGCCTGGCACCTGGAATACAGTAATTGAAAATGCTGCCATGTGGAGTAATGGTTGTGTGCCTTTTAAAAGAGCAGTGTAGAAACTGCAAAAATTACTGGGATAGAAGAGAACATTGTAGACAACAAGATAGTATATTCTTGTTTCTTCAGGAAATTTGAAAAATTAACTTTTTGTTGTCATGACTGAAGCTTTTGGTTTATTGGGGACCCAACTGTATTTTACTCTGTTGGAGGGCAAATGGTCAGTTCTGAACAGATATATCAGAAACAGAGCATGTGAATTGCACACAGGGACTGCACTGATCCCTGTGCCTCAAACACAAACTCTCAGCTGTAAGCTAGTACAGAGTAGGTATGCATGTTTCACATTCAGGGGTGAGCAGAAAGGAAAAGCAGCGTTTCAGTGTTTTCATCTAGCTCAGAGTGAAATTAGTCTGTACTGAATAAATCATTGACAGACATCTTTTAACTTTAGGTTATTGACAACAGTGCAGTGACAGCATAAACTTGAGAAGCAGCACCTAAAACACCACCATATAGTGAACTACATCCATAAAGCAATCTTAATACAGCTATGATACTATAAAGCATCAATTTGTAAGTGATTTGCCTCAGAATAATAAAGGGGAAGGTGATGCAGCTGAGGGAGATAGAGACTTCCATGACCTTTATGTATTTCAGAGTAATTTTCATGGTTTTTTACAAGTTCTACTGATAAAACAAAAAAAAGCCTCTACACAGAAACAAAATTTAATGTATTCAAACTCCTGAAAATCATGAAGGCTGCCTTTCAAATATTCCTGTGACTCAATGCTTCCATTGCCCACAAATGCAAACCCAGAAATCAGACAGCAGGACAAGACACTCTCATAATTCTTATGGTAACAGCAAAAAACAGGCTTATCAACCACAGTAGCGAGTAGTGTGAAACAGGCCAGTGCACCCAGAACCTGGATCACATCAGGTCAGATTCCAAAAACAATCAACAGAACAAGCCTCCTTCTCTACAGAAGCAAAAGCACAATACAGTTCATGACTACTTACCTAACTACAGAAAGTAGATAGATCTGCACTAAGAACAATTATTAAATAAAGGAAAGATTAATTGAAGATGTTAATAAAGACATATACCAAGCACACATGAAGGGTAACTAGTAGCTCCATCTGCTAAGGCACTTGTGTTCCCAGGCTGCCTGCTTTACATAGTTGCAGAATGGGACAAAGCAAGGCAGCTATGGTTACTTGTGAAGCAGATGCTATAGTGGGTCCATGAAGTAGGAACTTAGATGAAGGAGATTAAAATTCCAGAATTAGTACCCAAGAAGTTACCAATTTAATATATTGGTGAATTAACACTCAATACCCACCCTTTAGGGGTTTGCTCACTATAGCAAATACTACTATAGCTTTTAATTCAAATTTTCTTCTGTTTCTGCTGCAAACAATAGCACAGTGAAACTGTTTTATGATTAGGCCCTTGCAGCCAAATGAGTTTTATTAGAGTTAGACCCAGGAAAGGTGTTAGTTCATACAGTTGTTTTGAGTTCAGACTTCAGGCTTGCTAATAACAGAGAACTCAACACCGCGCTTGTTGAGGCGATCAATCAGTTTTGTTTTGGAGAAGGCGGCTCCTGGAGAATATACACCACCCCTGTTAGTGAAAATCAAAAAGGAAAAACATTAGTGGCACAGTGATTGAGGGACACCTTTCTATGAAGCTAGAGATGTGCTTCCCTGCCTGCCTAAGAAAAAAAAAGCCACTTTATCTGAGAAGAGAATGGGTTAGGAATTTGGCAGGGTGATTATACCCATAGATTAATTTCTGCGTCCAGAAAGCACTATAGAAAACCACTTCATTAACTGAACATAAAGACATTGATGCAAAGGCCTGACTAAAAGCCTATGACTACCATCCTTTCAAACTGATGGGCTGGTGAAGAGAAAGTGGCTTTAAATCAGCCAGTTAGGTGAAGTAACACAAATCCACAGGATTGATTAACTGTATTTTCAAAGAGAAACATTTGCACACAGTAGCTTTAAGGGAGAGCAAGCTGCTCAGCATGGGAAGGTACTTACCGTTTAGGCAGAGAAGCAGCATCTTCCAGGAGAGACAGACCTGCTTGAACCATTGCAATTGGTGTAGCAATATACCCAGGCTCTGACAAAAAAAATAAACCAAAGCAAAACCCCCCAGTGAAATACAGTGTGTTGAAATGTAGAATGTAATCCTGCTCTTCCCTACAGCATTCTGAAGAATAATGTCTTCGGCAATGAAACAGCATTTTCCTATTTAAGAACAGCTTTTATTTACCTAGTAACCAGACCAAGTAGCAGGTGAAATCCTTAAGATCTAATCCAGACAAATACTGCTTCACATAATGGCATCTAACCATACAACTGTGAGTGACTATATCATGGTGACAGAGGGCTCTCTGACACAGCAAGAGCTCTCCCCATCCTGTGCTTAAATTCAGAATTTTACCATGAAAGACTTGCATTTTGCCACATCTCTATTATTTAAAGAAGCTATGCTACAGTAACTCCTTTCTGAATATACATTCTTGCTCTCTCCAAACTTCAGGTGTTATCTCCCCTCAAGGAATAACCAGAACAAAAGTATGTGATAGTTAGAAATTATACCACACCAGACCTGTTTAAGTTCTCTCAGGGAACTGGAAATAAACAAAGTACTAAGTAGTCTAGGCTGTAACAACTAAAAACTATCCCTAAAGCCCTCTTCCTTCAATAGGTCTGCTCTGCATAAATGAAAATTAGACCAGGAAAAGTCAGAGGAAAGAGAATGACAAGAATGCAAGTGAACTGGCTATTTCAAAAACCAGGTCACAATGAATTCTAGTATCCAAATTAATACACTGTAAAGGCTGTTGGCTTTGTTCATGCTGCAAGTGCTTCTCAAGGGTGAAAGGAAAAGCAGTGCAATCATTAATGTATTTTAGAGCAGGGAATGCTAGGCAGAAACAGTCAGCTGCTACTAACACGTACCTGGTCCTTTCACTTCAGTGCAGATCTTCACATTTGGTTTGCCATTCTGGGGATCTTGTCCCTCACTGTAACCCTCACCAAAAAAAGTCATTGTAAAAGAGGTTCCATCCATCTGCAGTGGACAAGAAAAGCATAGTCACCGAAAGAGAAACTGGTTACTACCAGAAAAGCACAAGTAGTAGATATAAGTATCCAAATTCTATATATAGAATCCTGCCAAAAACTGTAATCTATTTAAACATGAGAGGAGTTATTTTGAATTGCTGCTTAAAAGGTATAATCTAAATTTTTAATTGCTTCCACTTTGTTGGCACTGTCCATGTACTAAAGTCTGTTTGTTTTCTCAGGACTTTCAGTCCTGGGTTTTTGCTAATCAGTCTCCCTTGGTCATCATCTTTGATAGAGTGCTCTGAGCCATCCACAGGAATACATCAGGCCCAGCAACATTATCCATTTATTCCTCATTGGAGTTACACCTGCTTTGATGTTTAAGACCAAAAGGCATTATTTAAATATGCAATAACTATCTGAACAGGCACACACAACATGTGTCTGGGCCTAGCAGGGAAGCTGTATGAGGAGCGGCTGAGGTCACTTGGTCTGTTCAGCCTGGAGAGGAGGAGACTGAGGGAAGACCTCACTGCAGTTAGAGCTTCCTTGTGGGAGGAAGAGAAAGGGCAGGCAGTGATCTCTTCTCTGTGGTGCCCAGTGACAGAACCCAAAGAAATGGCCTGAAGTTGTGTCAGGGGAGGGTTAGGGTGGATATAAGGAAAAGATTCTTCACCCAGAGGGTGGTTGGGCACTGGAACAGGCTCCCCAGGAAAGTGGTCACAGCACCAGCCTGACAGAGTTCAAAAAGCTCCTGGACAACACTCTCAGGGACATGGTGTGACTCTTGGGGTGTCCTGTGCAGGCCCAGGAACTGGGACTTTGATGATCTTTGTGGGTTCCTTCTAACTCAGAACATTCTGTGATTCATTTAGAAATTATTTCTTTGAGGCTAAGCAGTTGACACTGAATTTCTATTCCCCCTATATACAACAAATGTATTCTGTAACTGTGGTAGGAAACAGTCAGTCACCTGCTTCTGGGTTGGTCCTTTCTTTGTGAAGCGTCCAGCAGAGAAAAATTCCGGGTACTGTAGAGGAGAGAAAAAAAAGAAGACAAAAAAAAGACCAACAGTAAATTAGAGGGAGAAAAAAAAAAGATATCTCCAAACACTAAGTTGTCTTCTGTTTTAAAAACTTACTTTTGTCAGAAGTTTCCTTCCAAAGTTAAACTTCACCAGAAGAAGAAATAACATGCCCATAAACATCAGCTTGATAACAGAGCCAAGACCACCTATAGTCACATAAGCGCCATACTGGACCTGAAGCAAGAATGTATTTTCAGTGACGGGATTTACACTGCCTTTTTTCATCAAATGATTTTTATAAATCAATCTACCCCCTAAGCAAGATTCAGTTGTTTCATACAACATATATCAGTTTAAATAGGACCTTGAACAATTGTCTTAGTTCTAAGGAACTGTCTGAAGAATGCTTCACTTTCTCATTCATTCTGGGAAGACAATATAACTACAGAGTGAAGAGGGAGCAGACATGGTAAACAAAACAGAAAACTTTACAGAAATATGTGTTTTGGTATCAAATTTCAGCCTTCTTTCCTAGACCTTCCTTTGTGTTTTTCTTAAAGAGAAACTGAAACAGCAATGGCAAGCCTTTCTCATTTGCAGCTTCCAAGCATATTTTTAAAGCACCATCTCACCCACATCACTTTACTGATGCCTGTGATTCTGCACAGCAGTAACACAGATTGTTGGTGCTCATGTCCTCTCAGGAAATTAAGGAAAACAAAAATTAATCATCTTTTCCATCACCATTACTTCACACTGCTTTTACTCTGCACACTGGAGACCCAAGCATCATAGAAATCTTAAGATATAAATGCAGCATATGAATTCTTTACCAGAATATTTACTACACTATCCTGAGCTGGCTATAGCTACCGTAGATGACAATTATGATGCTTTTAGAAGCTCTGCTGATACAACAACGAAAGTCTCTGCACAGAAACAGAACTTAATACATTTATCATGAAGGCTACCTTTCAAATATTTCTGTGACTCAAGGTTTCTATTCCCTACAAATACATACCACCCAGGAGAACCTGACAAGACAACCTCGTAACTATCGTGTTAACAGCCAAAGGCAGGCTGATCAGCCACAGTCTGAAGTAGCATGAAACAGGCCAATGCACATGGAAGACTCAGTTTACAGATAACAGTAACTTACAGGTGTTTGCTGCAACTCGGTGTGCAAATAACGCTGAGTCCTTTTCACAACAGAACCATCAGATCCCATGAATGTAAGGCAGTACTCCTTGAACTCTGGACTGTAAAACAAAAATCCTCTGCAAATGAAAAAAAAAATTAAGTCAGAAAAAAAATGTTCCAATCTTCACACAAACTGAAAGAAACTGACCATAATGGCCTTACCACTACCAGTTTTCTCTCATGAATTTTTGTGGCATTATCTCTTTTCACTGAATGCAAGCAATTCTAAATATATCCCTGGCTCATTCAAAATTCAAAACATATATATCACTAAATATAATTCACTGTATGCACTGTATCAAGGATTAATTTAATAAACAATGTAACAGCCTTTTCATTTTTTTCCCTCCATTCTACTAATCAATTCTGAAATCAAAAGTTTCCCATGTCATTTGAAAGCCCTTTAGAAAGTGTTAATTTTGAGACCCAGTAAATGCTGGGACATGTTCTCTTTTCAGTAAGATATGAACAAATCAGTAAAACTGAGCTTATCTTCAATTCTACTGGATGAGCATCTGTGTTCATACTATACTAAAGTCCTAAATACATCTTTTTAATATTTAATACTGTAGAAATCTGTATCATGAATACTGGAACTTTTAGGAGACCACATATTCCACATCTTATGCTTATACCTTTTTTTAAGTTTTGCACCAACTACTGGAACAGGGGCATATCCTATCTGTTTTCGAAGCTTCTTCAGGTTGTCTTCATCTGCAAGGCCATAGACAGCTGACTTCCAGGTCCCATCATGTACACCAACACCCTTGTGGCATACCATGAAACAGTAATTAGTTTGGTATTTAAAGGTTTCATGGATTATTTCAATAATTATATTAGAATCACTACGTGTATTACAATTACTACATATAGATGTTATGATGATAGTATATTGAAATGGTGTGGGATGACCCTGGCTCACCAAGACACTCTATAATGCTCCTCCTAGCTAAGATAGGGAGAGGAGAAAATAAGATGGAAAAACCCCTTGTGTGTCAAGATAAAGACAATTTAATAAAGCAAAAGCTGCACATGAAAGTAGAGGTGTAGTAGTAACAAATGCCTCCCCACCCCCATACCCCCACTCTTCTCCTCCTTTCCCTTAGCCTTTCTTGCTGAGCAGAACTCACACACAGTATGGAATATCCCTTTGGTCAGTCTGGGGCAGCTCTCTGGGCTCTGTTCCCTCCCAGGATCTTGTCCACCCCAGCCTACGAGGTGAGGGGCGGGAATGCTGCAGAGACAGCCTCAGTGCTGCGCCAACACTGCTCAGCAGCAGCCAGAACACTGCTGTGTTACTGACACTTTTGTAGCTGCCACACAAAGCACAGCACTGTGAGGGCTGCTGTGGGGAAATGAACTCCAGATCAGCCAGACCCGACACAATCTCCACCCCTCCTTCCACATGATCTGCAACATACATTAAATTCTGTGGGTCTGAATATATCTGTAGCTCTTCTAACCAGCTCAGTGTAGTTAATTCTCATTATCAAAATCTCTTCTTACCAACACTTTGAATTTATGCTATATATTTAAACATGTTTTCATACCAAACATATAGATTTATATATTCCCCTTAAGTATCCCCTATTCCTTAACAGACAGATAGATACTCTACTCTCCCATTCAGCCCATTCCATGGGCTTCCTCCACTCCTCCAGATGTTTTTAAGAACAAAAATGGTTTTTAAGGCAATATGGGTGCTCATGCCAGGAGCAGTAGTGTTTGGTTGCTGGGCATCAAGACTGGCTTGGATCATTGTTGCATTGTTTTAAAAACATTAGAATTATTACATATACTACACATTATTACAATTACTATGTACAGGTATTGTCATTAGATGCATTGAAGTACATTGAAACATTCTCCCTCCACCAACAAACAAAAAACCCTAACAGCCTAACACTAGGACTACTAGCAATACACTGTGGACCTGTTACAGTTTCACTTGTGTTAAGAATCCTTCCCACATCTCTGCAAAAGCAAAATAATTCCTGGAACAGTTTACCAGAGCAAAGTGTAGGTAGACAGCCCTGCAAACATACCTTACAAAAGGGTGTTTGCTTAGGATGCTTTTAGTAGCTCCTAAAGAATGAAGTTCTTAGACTTATCATCAAAGACCTGCCAGCTTGCTCCTTGGTCTGACTTAATGTAGCAACAGTTTATTCTGACGGGCTATGGTGATGTTATCACAAATACTCCTGAGTTTCAGGAAGGTAGAGACCAACTAACCTCAGGCCCAGATTTCACTGACAGGAAACTCTCAACAGCAGTTAAGGTACCTGTAAGGGAAGGGAAGACATTATTTGGCACACAGAATCATTACTCTGCAAAGCTAGAGAACACTCTGGTAGACTCACACCAGCAGGCTGCTGACATTATCAGCTGAAAAAGCAGAGTTACATTCTTCTCTCAAAGCAAAATAATGTAAATTATGATACACAGCTGTTTGAGTTAGCAAATATTACATTTCTTGTGTAAATTAATTCAATACAGGTCACTAGTATTACCTCTATTAATTAATTTTTTCCATTTCTCTTATCTAGTTAATGTAAAAAAAATCCTTGGAAAAAAATAGGAAATTAATATTAAAAAGCACATTTAGTTATTTAGTTTTCCTCCAAGTTTCAAAATAAAGGATGATGAGAAAGCTAACATGAACATAAAAATTTTGATGCACCCAAAATAAAAAATTACCCACCACTGAAACAAAACAACCCTCAACCCCCTCCCCCCAAAAACACACAAAATATCCCAAAATATTTAATTTCAGCATAGCTTAAAATAGTGTTTTGCAAAGAAGGCTTAGTTCGATGAACAGCAGAACAACACCTTGCCTCCAAATTCTGATTTGTTTTGCTTTGCTTAGCTCTGAGACTGGAAAACTGTATTTGTATGGATAAATTTCAACATAGCAAGCAACTGGATAGACAGGGGTAATGCCGTAAAGTCAAAATAGGACAAGATAAAAGACATCTTTATTAAAAACAGGTATCAAACATCAAATTACAACCTCATGAACATTCAGATACTCATTTCCATGCCTTGTTTCTCCTCCAGCCAGATCTGAATTGAGGTTTCAACTGAATGCTGATTCCAATGTAAACCAATCCCATTTAGCAGCCTTTTTAATAGCCCATAAAAGCAAAACATTTGGATACTCTTATAGGTCCTCCCAACTGAAAAGCAGACCTGATGAATAGAGTATCCTCATCTGGGATCAGGATCAAATACTATTTACATAGAATTAAATCCTCTCACGTATTTTCTTAAATATACTTCTCTTTCAGTTACCCTCTAGCTGCTACTAAAGTAAAAAGCACTGCATGGCACTGTCCTGCTACTTAGATTCACACAACAGCTTCTTAGAGCTTGTAGTTGAAAAAGGAAACTTGGGAAACCTGATTTCCCCCTAATCTGTGGAGCCCTTCCCACTGTCTCTTCCCTACGAGATTCTCACTGCACAAGAGGCAGTGTGCTGAGGCTGCCTAGGGACATCCACACATTGGCGGAGCAGCCTGCTGCTCACAGCCGAACATTCTGTCCTCTCAGATTCACAGAATATTCCGAGTTGGAGGGGACCCACGAGCATCATTGAGCCCAACCCTTAAGTGAATGGGGATGGAACCCACAACCTCGGTGTTATTAGCACCATGCTCTGAACAACTGGGCTCATCACAGGGCCCTGTCAGTGAGCAACATGACCATGAATCCCTCCCCTACCCAATGACCCATCCAATGGGAATGTGACTTTAAATTTCTAACACATTTGGTTGAGACTGGTCACCTGGTAAAGGCAGGAAAAAAGAGACACTGACAGAGTTTCCACAGGACTACTGCTGCTTTAGAAAATGGGATGACAGCATAATCTGCATTCCCTTTTCACCATAAAAATGCACTTATTCCAGTCACCTTTCAACTTGTCTTTAGTGTACAGTACTCCCATATCCGCCGGTATGGAGTCAAAGCCACAGCTTCCAACGATATACACTCCCTTTTCTGCAGCTTTTTCATTGTATTTCAGGTACATTCCTTCCAGAAACTGAAACACAGCCAGAACAAATATTTTAAGTTGAAATTCATTCTTAGCCATACCCAATACTAGCCATCAGTGCTTCACTGTCACATCATAGCACCTTCCATGCTTTAAACCACTTACAAGTATCTTTGACAAATATATATGCCTCCTGGTCAGTAATATGAAAGTTTCACAGCAGTGAGAAAAGAAGTACAAAATTCCTATGCAGAATCACAACAGAGTCTCGAAGCAGAATTCGGCAATTTGGGACTTCTACAGGGAACCAAAGAGGCTCCTATCTTAAAAGCAAGAAAACCATACAACTAAGTATAGTGTACTTTAAAATAATTACTGCATCTTAAAATCATAGATCAGGAGTCAGAATTTGTTGTCATGTCCAGAAACATTAGCAGAAGCATGAAACATACTAAACAAACACTCCTTTTGCAGAGCCTTGATTATATAAGGTAGTGGTTTTTTTACTATCACATACCTGGGGTTCTCCACTAATGTCAATGCAGCTTGCACCATTTTCAACACAAGCTTCTACAACAGGTTCTCCAAAGAATCTGTACTATAGAAGGAAAGAACACCAGATGTAACAAAAGAAAACCCACACATCACATCTCACCCAGTGTGCTTTACCTAAAGTACATCTCTGCAATAAAAGTGAACCTCAGCTATCGATTTTTCTAAGTGGGGCTAAAATGCAACAACACTTCTATTTATTGGGACTGTGGGGAGAAGAAAACATAAACTTCACTGCTGATAATGGAGCTTGCTGCACAGTACTGCACCTGACTTCTGTCATAAAATCAGATCACCAAGACCAACCGAATACTGCCACTAATTTCACTTTACACTTTATGCACTCGACATATTCTCTTTAAAAACTCTGAATTTCAAAGAGATGCCCATTACACAACGTCCACCTCGCACACTTTGATGCTCTCTGAATGCGCTGCAAATACTGTCACTGTAAGTTTTAAAAGGGCCAAGTGCTTCTGGCAGCAAGCCTGTGGGCCCCTTTTCCAGCTCCATGTTTAACCCCAGCACCACTGATATTTTGGCCCAACCCAAAACACTGGGCCAGTCTTTACCACCAGTATCTTAGGCTGCCTGTGAAAGACTGAAAACCAACACGGCTGTATTTCAACGCGGAGACCTGTCCTGAACCGCACCACCTGCGATGGCGGTGGGACACCCTTCGGCCACTGCAGTACGCGTCTGTACTTGGAACACCAGGCTCGAGTTCCAAGAGCTGCGCTGTTCCTGCGCGGCCACCCGCAGCCCAGGCGCGGCCCCGGAGGAGGAGGAGAAGGCCGCGGAGACACCGCCCCGCCCGCATCCCCGCACTCACCGGGCCCACGCAGTTAAGCACCAGTCGGGTCTGCCTCGCCATGGTGGCCAGCGAGTCCGCGTCGTCCACATCGCAGAGCAGCACGCCGACCTCCTCCCCGGGGGCCGCCTTCCCTGCGCACCGGAGACCGCCGTCACCGACACCGCTCCGCCCGGGACGAGCCCACTCCTACCCGGCGCAGCGCCGGGGCTCGCCCCGCTTCGCTCCTCAGTCCTTCCCCGCACCCCCGACCCACTGGGCCTCCCCGGGCAGCGGCGCTGCGCCCCCCGCCCCGGCCGCGGCCCGTACCCAGCCGCTCTGCCGCCCGCTCCAGCACCGCCCGCAGCTTCTCGCGGCTGCGTCCGGCCACGGCCCAGCGCAGGCGGCCGCCGCACAACTGCCCCTCGCCGGCCGCCGCCGCCGCCGCCGCCCGCGCCACCTCCTCCACCACGAACTGTCCGGTGAAGCCCGAGGCGCCGAACACCACAATGTCGTAGAGCCGCCCGGCCCCGGCCGTCATAGTGCCACTGCTGGCCGCCATGGGGCGAGCAAGGCGAGTAGCCGTCCTACTGGCGGCGGCGCCGGGCAGCGCTGGCATTACGACCCCGCTCCGCTCCGCCCCGCCGGCCCCGCCCCGCCCCGCGCCCCTCTCGGGCTGCGGCGGTGCCCGCCCGGCCCTTGCGCGGCGGGAGCGGCCTGTGCCCGACCTGAGGTGGCGCGGGGAGAGCTGCGCACCGTGAGGGATGAGAGAGAGGTGTGCCAAGGTATGGCCGATAGGCCTGGAGCTCAGCGACATTCATAGCGAGAGGCCACCATAGAATCATGGGATGGTTTGGGTTGGAAGGGGCTTAAAGACCGTCTCGTTTCAGCCCCCTGCCATGGGCAAGGACACCTTTTACTCGACCAGGTTGCTCAGAGCCTCATCCAGCATTGAACCCCTTCAGGGATGTGGCATCCACAATACCACTGAGCAACCTGATCAGAGCCTCACCTCTCTTACAGTAAAGGGTTTTCCCCTAATAGCCAGTCTAAACCTACTCTCTTTCGATTTGCACCCATTCCCTCTTTTCCTGTCACTACATGCTCTTGTAAATAGTCTTGGCCCAGGCTGCAATTAGGTCATGCTGGAATCTTCACTTTTCCAGGCTGAACAATCCCAGTCCTCTCAGCCTTTCCTCATAAGAGAGGTGCTTCATCCCTCTGAACACCTTGTTGGTCCTACTCTGGGTCACAACTGTTTGGTCCCAGAGCAGACATCCTGTCCCACGATGAGCCTGGCTCTTTGTTACGAGCTCCTGCTGTAGGCATTTCAGCACAGGTAATACAGGTGGTCAGAAGACTGTTACTAATAAAGATGAGAAATTTAATGACCTAGAAGTAAAATGAAACACTGTTCCCCCACAATTGCAGCAATCATTTATGTTTTGCTCAACAACAGAAGCAGAACGACACAAAATGTGAAGTTCCTGTTGCAGCAGGGAGAACCAGTGGCCCTGCAGACACACTTCAGTATTTAACATCCATGACTGCATGGAGCGGTGAGGCCAAGTTTTCTGTGTTTTTCATGGCTAGGCTGCACACCTGAATTCCAGAGGCTTGCACCAAGTCACATGGGAAGCAGCCTCATGAATCCTGCTCACTGGCCCTTTTTCCCAGGGAGCACCTACGGTATCTAAATTGTTCCCAACAGAAGCCTGTCTAACCTGTTTTAAAACCTCCAGTGATAGACGCTTTCACGCCATTCCTCAGGCAGCCTCGTCCTGCATTTGTTATAAATATGGCTGGAGACAAGAAGCTAGATCTTCAGATCTTGTAGTTTTAGCCCCATATTATTTCTCTTGTTTCTTGAGGATTTTGACAAAAGATTTAATCCCTGAGGAGTATATAAAAAGATGCTGCTGAGCTGGAAGTTACCATGTATCTTCTTAGTGTTTATTAAAAAGAATAATTTGATTTTTTTTTTTCCTTACAGGCCACTTTGAACATACATTTATCCTGTTCCCTTCTGAACTATCTTCAGCTGGTTTTCTTTTTTTGGTAACATAATGTCCACTACTAGTCCCCACATTCACCCTGTGAGTCCTAAATCAATTGAGAAGGTTGTGTGATAGGCTGGAATTTGCATCTGTTTCTACATAACTCAAACGTTTGCCTTATTTTTTTCAAGTGTCATATTGTTGCTGCACCCGCAGGTCATGATCTGTTCCACCTCAGAGGCTTTTTCAAATTACTGCAGCCTAACCAGTCTTTTCCCATCTCAGATTTGTACTGAAGAGTAATGACCTTTCTGAAGATATGCTAAACATCTCATCTCCAAGGCAGCAGATCCTCTCCTCCAAGCATCAGTACCAACTCCTTGAGTGGTGCTGGAGCAGTTGTTCATAGGCCTACACCATCAGCTGTGTCAGTGAAACAACTCAGTCTAACAAAAAACAAAGAGTGGGGGAGGGAAGGACAAAGACTTTCTTGTGCTCCTTTTTAATTCAGATAATTTTGTTGATCTGATTTACAGAGCAACCCTGCAAAACCAGTTTCTTGTGTCTGAGGTCACTGAGCATCTCTTAATCAAGCTGTCTCTACTACCTTCTTCTCCTTCCTACACACCAGGATAATTTCCATCTGTGCTTACAACACTGTGGAACTCCTCTGAGCTACTTTGCTATTACACTCAATTTTTTCTCTTCTGCCGCCAATTGTCAAAGCGAAGTCTTCTTTGAGGACACTGGTTTTGGTCTCCCATTCTCTTTTCTCTCTTGCAAAAATTTTGAAAAAACTTTGCAACAATAAACACTAGATAATTTCCCTCTAATTTGAAGTTAACAATTTTTTTTTTCAGACTTTTAAAATTATTCAGTGACAAGAGGCTGTAATAAATCTGCAGATTTGCAGAGGGATCCTGCCGTAGCTTGCAGGGCTGGCTGGGATCCTCACCCTGCTTTCTTCATCCCTTTGCTTCAGATGTTTCTCTCTCTTGCCCACTCCTTCTCCACATTACCTCCCAGAAAACAAAGCAGTTTATAAACCTAATTCTGACTCAACCATTTGTTAAGAATCAGGACTGCACAAGCCTCCTCGGACCATAAGTATTTGATAAGACCTTCATTGTGTAGTTAGGCAGAGGCTTGGCAAGCACAAGCTTGAATGCAGTGCTGAGTGCCCTGTCTCTTCTTGATGACAGAAACATTACACCAAATTGGGCAGACCTACCCTGTTTATCAATCCACAACTCTCAAGATTTCACCTGCTCTTTCAGTGTCAGCTGTGTTTCTCTAAAACACAGTGCTGGAGCAAGATAACTCATATAAATTGCAGCTTACACAAGAAAGAAATCAGGGTTTAAGAATTGCAGAAGGACAAGAAACAAGCAGAGGGCTATCGAAACATGTGGCAAACCTAGGGTTCTTTTTTTCCCTTTTTGTTTGCATAAAATATCACTCTGGTAGCTCAAGTAATTTTTTTCTTGGGAGAGCTCTGTTTGGCAAGTTGAAGAATTCTGTATGCAGTTTCACTCCAGCTCTCTGAATAAAAAGAGAACAAAATTCTAAGTCTCTAAGCCGGTTTCCATTCCTGCCTTTGAACTAACAAGTAGGCAGGTAGGTTTCAAAACAGCAAACATCAAGGTGATGTTAGGGCTCGGATTTTAAGTGGGAGACTTAAAGCTGACTTGACTAAAGGCAAAGGTTAACCCATTTCCGTAGTTAGTATCACCAATGTGGGATTGCAAAAAATATTCTGTGGGAAAGCAGTGGGATGATTTACAGTTTTTCCTTGTCCAATAGGAAGACAAGAAATGTCAGATCTGCTGCCAAGTGTAGTTCTGCAAAGGAGGCTCTGACCTGAATCAGCTTCAGAAACTCACCAAATAAAAAGATACTGCTGTTTCTTTTAAAATTTTATTTCTTGTATTTGAAGGTAGGGTTTTCTTCCCAGGTGTATCTGCGTATAGATACTTCAGGATTTCAGTGCTTTAAAGCCTCCTTTAGCTAGATGGATTCAGTCTAAAACATCTTTAACTAGAGGTCGCTGCTGGTTTCTTTGGGATAGAAGAGCATGCAAGTGAAACACACAACACTCCCATGTGTGCTTTGCTGTATCTTTTCAAATTCCTGAAATTAAATGGGCTTGCCTCCCTTTGCTAGCTTCTTCTGTTCCATCTGGAGCATCTGACAGAAGCTGAGGAATCTGCACCAGTATTTATAAAAGCACCCATATGCACCTTCATTTCATGCAGCAGTTGTTCTAATAAACTCCTTTATATCAATATTTATATATTTCTTGGACACCAATATTTGTGGTAAAGTTTTTTATATGAATTTATAATTTTAGGGCACTTTTTGTTTACTAAAGTGTAAATGCAGATGTTCTATTATTGCTATTTTTAGTTAAAATAATACTAAGGTAGCAGAGAGAGTGCAATATTATATCATTATACAATGCTCTATGATGGCAGTTTTTTTAAACACAATTGTCATGTACCTCCAAGGATGAAATAAGATCATTTTCTTGCATAATTGCAGAAGTTACTATGGAACATAAGAAAAATAGACCATAAGTGTAGGCAGAGGTGTTGGGAAATAAGGTTGATTAACAATGCATGGATAAATCACAGGGTATGAAGAGTTATGTGGGTGAGTATAAAAGGGATTTAGAAAAAGAAAAAGCAAAAAGGCAGGCATCTCTGTACCTGCTACAGTTGCTACAGTTACTCACTACTTAGACTGTGAGAACAAGAGTTTCTGGAACAAAGCCCACAGTTTTTAGTGCTATCTTATCCTTAATTTGTGCAGATTATTACTTTATAATCAAGAGGCAATTGGCTCCAAAATGCCAGCCCATACAAAACTTAAAAATTTGTAATAAACTGATCCATCTAGACTGGGACAAAAAAGAGGAGCTCAAACTAGAAACTGCAGACAAGCAAAGAGGCTTGCCACTTGCGGCAGTTCAGTAATGCTTTATTTATTTTACTTTAATTTTATCTTAAAATTGAAATGTCATCTAACCTTAAAAAAAAATTAAAAATCCCAACATTGAATCATAAAATCTTTTAGTCTGAAGAAGACCTTTAAGTTCACTGAGTCCACACGTAAGTCTAACATTGCCAAGTCCATCACTAAACCATGTCCCTAAGCACCATATCTACGTGGTTTTTAAATATCTCCAGGGATAGTGACTCCACCACTTCCCCCTGTAGCCTGTTCCAATGCTTGGCCACTATTTCCATGAAGAAATTTTTTCTAATATCAGTGTAAACCTCCCCTCCTGCAACTCCAAGCCATTTCCTTTCATCCTGTCACTCGTTTCCTGGGAGAAGAAGCCAATCCCCACCTGGCTACACCCTCCTTTCAGAGAGATGTAGAGAGTGACAAGAGTCCGGGCCTTCTTTTCTCCAGGCTAAACAACCCCAGCTCCCTCAGCTGCTCATCATCAGACTTGTGCTCCAGACCCTTCACCAGCTCCACTGCCCTTCTCTGGACACTCCAGCACTCCAATGTCCTTGCAGTGAGGGGCCCAGAACTGGACCTGGCAGTCGAGGTGTGGCCTCACCAGTGCTCAGTACTGGAGGAAAATCACTGC